CCCCCCCCTCCCGGTCTATTTTAGTAACTAGGTCATTAACCTTGACCTTAGAGACGTCTAAAACCTCTATTGCACATCTTCATATCACAGGGTGTCACAACGTCAAATTTCAAAAGCATCAGTCTTTTAATTTCTGATACAACCTCCGGAAACGGATACGAAAGAGTGGACGGACGGACACCTCGGTTCATATAAGGATCCCAAATCTCCTATGCGGGGCCCTAAGCACATGACAATATTACAAGTTTATTTTAAGGATCCCTGTCCCACTGTGGGTTGTCGTACAGACAGTAGCCTCCCTTTAATGTCGTTTAAGATAACCGGGACAGTATACTTCCGTTGAGCAGGTAGTTCAATAGGTAAGAGCGACAGTATACATTTTGTTTTTATTCCGTCTTTATTATTTTTCTTAAAAGTCCCGTAAGGTATGGTTTTCTTTCCCGATATGATTTATCAAAGCCATACCTGATTTATCAAAGCCATACCTGATTGATCAAAGCCATACCTGATTTATCAAAGTCATACCAATAGAGAACAATTAAGTTTACAATACGTAGTGACAGTTTTTGACAGTGGTATGGAGAGTAGAGTTTGTAGAACTTTGGACCAATTGAACATGGTTCACGTTGTCCGTATTCAAAGTAGCCACTGGCTATTTTTATTTTCAACTGGTTACTACAAAAACAATGTAGCTGCTAAAATTCTAAATTGGCTACAAGGTTTAAAAAAGAAAAGACTGGAAAGTGTGTATTTTTGTCTAAGAAAACGATCAACTAGTCAAATAATTGCTTTCGTAACAAACATATTTTCGTTCTGGTTAGCAACGCGTTGTTTAAATCTTCAGACGTAGCTACCAGAGTTGATACCGGAAACGATTTCCTTATCCATCAAATTACCTTGAACAAAATGTCCGTACGATATGTCGTTACATAGCCGTGTATTTGCTTGGATATTTAAGGACGCCTGATGAAATAGAGTCATTCGAATTGCAAATTTCACAATATCACAATACGCTATCGAAACATTTCGATTTGTCTGACTGAACTCAATAAACATCTACGAGGCTTTCCGAATGTATAAACATCAACAACAACCCGTGTGCGCTTTCTGAATTCGACATGTAATTGGTTTTACTTGACTTACATAAGGATAAGGAGAAAACACTATCGATTTTTTGCAGACTCAATTATCTAGGAAAAGGAGATTTCTGCTAAACGGAAAAGCATGCGTATGAATACCACTTATCGTTTGTCTGCGGTTCTTAAATACCGCGACGCGTCACGTCATCCAGCAAAACGTCGCCAAACCGGAAGTGCGTCTGGGCAGGAAGAGATGGTTTATGGGCTTTGACATAGACAGCTGTAAGATGTATCGTTCGTGCCAAGAACTACATTTTGGCTGTCAAATCCTTTCCCTAACGAATAAACTGTTAATACCATTCGAAATATACGAGTTGGACATGTGTTATCCATGTTTAAATGACCACATTTGCATATCCATGCTCATTAGGTTCTATTGAATCGTTAAACGAAAAAGTTGAAATCGAATCTTCTTTCTTTTTTATTAGATTTTTTTTATTCATTTATTTATCATAATTTTATTTACAATTTTTCCCCTTCATTTTTAATATAAACAGCAATTTTCTTTCTTATCAATCAATAAATAAATAAATGCATCGTTAAATTTCAGGCAAATGCCTACAAACGCCAGCGTAGACGGCCTACGTGTATATTTCTACATGTCTTGACAATACGTCTTGAGATATATTAAGAGGTGATAATAATTTTTATCAGCGCGTGTTTGTGCGTCACTGTCGAGTACTGAAACAGCAGGCCAGCACGAGAAGGCCCGTTCTGACCTCGATCTGATTTCAAGAAACATCGTCTTTCTCGAGACCTCCTGGTCTCATTCTGGTATCGCCATGAAAACACTAGTCACGTTATGATCTCGTCATGAAACGTTCTCCATTTCAAATAACGACACCAAGTTGACCTTGACCTACAGTGCTACACAACGTATCAATTACAAAACTGTTTGCAAAATCAGAGCCTCAAGTCCTTAGGGCCCCTAAATCAACTCATCTGGGTACGCCAGTCTCATTAACCTGTCCCGACACGTGACTCAACATCAGTCTCATCTACCTGTCACGTCACGTGTCTCAATATCAGTCTCATTTACCTGTAACGACACGTGACTCATCATCAGTCTCATTTACCTGTCACGTCACGTGTCTCAATATCAGTCTCATTTACCTGTAACGACACGTGACTCAACATCAGTCTCATTTACCTGTCACGTCACGTGTCTCAATATCAGTCTCATTTACCTGTCACGACACGTGTCTCAATATCAGTCTCATTTACCAGTCACTTCACGTGACTCAACATAAGTCTCATTTGTATGTCACGTCACTAGCCTTAATATCAGTCTCATTTACCTGACCCGACACGAGCCTCAACACTAATCCTATTAAACTGTCACATATCCTGTCTCAATATCAGTCTCATTTACCTGTCACGTCACGTGACTCAACATCAGTCTCATTTACCTGTCACGTCACGTGACTCAACATCAGTCTCATTTACCTGTCACGTCACGTGACTCAACATCAGTCTCATTTACCTGTCCCGTCACGTGACTCAACATCAGTCTCATTTACCTGTCCCGACACGTGCCCCTCAACTCTAATATCTTATTTACTTGTCCCGACATGTGACTCAATATGAGTCTCATTTACCTGACACGTCTCTTATCTCGATATCAGTCGCATTTACCTGTCACGTCACGTGACTCAACATCAGTCTCATTTTCCTGTCGCGACACGTGACTCAATATCAGTCTCATTTACCTGTCACGTCACTTGTCTCAATATCAGTCTCATTTACCTGTAAAGTCACGTGTCTTAATATCAGTCTCATTTACTTTCTCACGACCCCAGTCGCAACAATTCGAAAATGTTGGACAAATTATTAACTCAGGCCGAAGCGGCCTTCGTTAATTATTTTTACCAACATTTTCTCACCCTCGTTATATATTCCACCATAATGCACGCACATATGTTGATTATTTCTTAAATACTGTTACTATAGACGTTGGCTTGTATTGTGTAAGTGACATTACTGTAACAACAGGCGAGGACGTTGTTGACGAACAGCAGTGTGTATAATGTAATCTCAGGACAAATGCAAGGCAAAAAGACGCGACTAGAAATACAAACAATCAGACTAATGCACATAGTTATACGTCTAGAGAAAAACCTAGTTTCCATACATATATGTTTTTATAACTCGTGTCTGGAATATATTTGTAAAATGATGATGCATTGCTTAGTTTACATATGCAATCCAGAGTGTGCGTCTGTCATCTCACGTAGCGCATGTTGTGTCACATAACGCGCAGCTCTTTACGAGTTCATGGGGGTCAAAGCTCAGAAAAAAATGTCTGCGTCATAACACGCCCTGAGCAATGCGAATGTACTTTAATGAAGAATGACAAACATGACAGTCGCAACAGGAACCGGAAACCTCGGCACAACCAGACAGGAACCGGAAACCTCGGCACAACCAGACAGGAACTCCTATCAATTAAGGCAACTAGACAAGGTA